CTTGGCATCACTGATAGCCTGCACCGCTACCTGCAGGGAGAAAGGCTAGACATGGGCAAAGCTGTGGAGTACAAGATGTCGGTAGTTGATACACTAAGTAAACTGCGCAAAGAGGCTGCTGATGAGGAAATATTTGAGAAGGCCATGGACATTTGTGGAAGCTACAACATCCAGATTCCTCAGGGGGCACGACACAAACAGAAAAGACTTGAAGGATTTGTACTTGAGTCCAGCTGTGGTGTAACACCAAATCTCACAAGCTCAGCAGAGTTTAGGTACGAGATATTCTTTCCTTGTTTGGACCGAATGTTGCAGGAGCTAGCAGACAGATTTTCTGGGGCAGGACAGAAAATAATGGAGGGCATTCAGGCATGCAATCCATCCTCCCCAACATTCCTTTCCGAAGGTGCCTTAAAACCCATTGTGGCACACTACCATGTGACGATAAAGCCTGAAGAACTTGTTGTGGCAAAAAACTTCATGAAAAGAAAAATGGAAAAAGAGGACATTTGCGACATCACAACTGCCTTCCACTTGCTTGACGAGGACATGTTCCCAACTCTGAAGGTCATCTTTAGAATTGCACTAACCATTCCTGTCAGTAGCTGCAGCTGTGAGCGCTCTTTTAGTGCCTTGCGTCGTCTCCACATGTGGCTAAGGAGAACCATGGGACAAGAGAGGCTGAATGATTTGGCCATATTATCTATTGAAAATGAGTACTTGGATAATGTTGACCCTGAAAATGTCATTGATAGGTTTGCAAAACTCAAGCCTCGAAGATACAATCTCATGTTACCACAATAAAGAGGTGTTGTCAGAGTAGTGCAGATCTGTGATGATTTTCAGTGCTACTGTCATCTAGTTTTGATTTTGGTTCTTTGTTGGTTAAGTCCTAAAGTAGTCCTGATTTTGAACTGTTATTCTACTGTTTTCATTCCGGATCAGTTCTGGGTGTGGTTGAAATGGGGTTTAGTCCCCGTATCTTGAAACAGCCCTAATGTCGTTCTGCCTTGCTGTTTAAGTAAAAAACAATTTTTAAGCTGCATATGTGATATTTTTTTTCTCGTATTAAGTTTTTTTTTTTTTTTTAAAGGTTACAACACAGCCTAATAAATCTTCAACTTCACAGCAGGTTTTTTTGTCATTCCCAGATGGTACAGTGGACACATGTGTGACTCCTGTGATTAAAGCATCTTTCTTTCAGCTTAACAGTGAACCGTCAGCTCGTTCAAACACACGTTAAAGTCCGTTTGGCTCGACACCACCGAACAGAGGCAGCAATATAACATAGCTAACATTAACAGTGCAGTGAATCCTGCTTGTGCCGTGATATTCAGGACTGCAAACCGAGCAGCATCACTGACTTTCAGCTTGTTGTGTTTGTGGATATATGACTGACTTTAATTATCCATAGAATCATCACATTCTCTGTAGGATTAAGGTCAACTATTGAACGGCATATAAAGTAAAGGCTTTATAACAAAGTTAACTCAAAGTACAAACATCGCTAATGTCACATAACTTTGCCGGCATGTGGCCAACAGCAATGTTTTAATGTTCTTCATTATTAAACATTTGCACACAAATAAGTGACATAATATTCAGTACTTACTTTTGAAAGTTTACTCTTTGGCCGCTCCGCTTCCACTTTTTTTTCGGCAAAATTATCCACACCACCGCTGCGCTATGAAGTCTGGGATATGTTGGGCCATGAAGGCTACACCGACCCATCCTTAAAATTCAGGGAAATTAAGGACGCATTTGAGGGCCGCATTTCGAGCAGCCTTTGAATTGGGACAGCCTTCGTCGTGTCGCTGTGACGTAATCGGCCTTAAAATGCGGCCTTTAAGGCTGCAGACCCTGAATTGGGATACAGCCCAAATCCGGTCATTGGTACTTCCTGGCTTGTGTAGTTACTAGGTAACAAAAGCTCAACACTGCCCCTAGCGTCCTGGAGCACTTCCGTTGTGTTTTGGAATTTGCATGTGTTTTGGGGTTTGCAAGTGTTTTGGAGTTTGCAAGTGTTTTGGAGTTTGCAAGTGTTTTGGAGTTTGTACGTGCTTTGTCTCTAGGGGCCACCGTACCCCCCCTGCACACGTATTACCCTTTAGGGCTAAGCCCCGGGTGTATACAATGTCTGGCTCCGCCTCTGGATGTGAGAGGACCCAAGTCAGATGGTGGGACACCAGGGCCTGGGGGGGTTAAGGTCATTGTTTTTCAGGGATAGATGAATCTGACAGTTGTCTGATTAAAAATTGGATTTATGTTTTTTAATAATATGGCCAAGGGGAAGTAAATAAAGACTAAAAAGAAGGGGCCCAAGGATGGATCCTTGAGGTACACCACATGGGAGGGGGGCAGAAGATGAATGAAATTTACCAAGTGAGACGAGAGAAACTTCTAGTCAGAAGGTATGACTTGAAGCACTCCAAGGCAGTGCCTTAATTCCAACATGATGTTCTAGAGAGAAATCTAAAATCTGTTGTGACTTTTCAGCTGTTGAAACCGGAGGAAACCCACCCGGGATTAATAAAGTTATATTCTAATCTAATCTAATAACTTTAATCTCAGCCAAACCGATTTACTCAGAACAAATAAAACACTGAAAAAAGCCAAACAATAACATTTTTAGGTATGTCTAAGTGACTTATATATTATCGTTTAACCTGAGTAGCAAAATCGCGGTGATCTGAAAATGATGTGCCGGGAGTTGTGCCGTTCTCGGCGGCTTCAGTGACCCTGAGCTCTCAGCTAGCTATCGAGCTGGTGGGTAACAGACGTCTCCGAAAACGTCAAGCACTTTTGCAAATATGCATATCTTGATAAACCGAGCAGATATTTGAAGTTTACACACCAGCTGAAAATATGTTAAAAGTTTATTTTGTGACCCAGAAAGATTAGTATAGAGTAATTTTAAAACTTAGTAGCGGCCACCATTGTTGGAAACTGGAGTTTGGCTGGGCCGCGCTATGAATCCTGGGTGGGCCATGAAGGCTACACCGACCCATCCTTAAAATTCAGGGAAATTAAGGACGCATTTGAGGGCTGCATTTCGAGCAGCCTTTGAATTGGGACATCCTTCGTCGTGTCGCTGTGACATAATCGGCCTTAAAATGCGGCCTGAATATGTAAAGCGCTTTGGGGTCCTTAGGGACTAGAAAAGCACTATACAAATACAGGCCATTTACCATTTTACCATTTACCTTGCTGAATCAATGTTTTGAAGAAATAAGCCAGTACAAAACATACTTCTTGTTTTGTTCTGCTCCAAATCACCTCGTTTCTACACTGTGAATATGTGGCTCTTGCTTTATGTGAGTTTTGTGTTGTTCTGTTTTCTGGAAAGTGTTCAGTATTAAAGCTGCCTTTTTGAGTTCACTTAGTCCTTCATTTACGTCCCAGTTTACCTGCCACTCAGAGAAGGGCATCATTCACTGTCCAAAAACAGCTCTGTGTTAACCTGGCGGAAAAATGGCAACCTTTTTAGGGTGTAACCCTCCTTTCACCTTTTGGCAGTCAGGATATTCTCTGCAACTCATCATTTTGTGTTTCTTGTGTTTTTATGACTTTGTGTGTTATGCTTTATTATTCTTAGTGGTCTATGTTGTGTCTATATCAACCTTTGTACATTTAGGCTCTTGTCCCCTCATGTCTTTGCCCTCTGTGCCCCCTTCTGTGTGTATGTGTTTGGGTGTGTTAGTCCTAAAAACATACACAACCTACCCATGTTCCCTTCCTTGTGTGTGTCATTCCATGTTTCCCATCTATGTTTATCTCCTTAGACTTTCTTGTTTTCCCGAGTGTTGTGTCTTCCCAGTCCATGTGACATGTTATGATATTTTGTCTTCCTTCGCGTCATGTCTCTCTCCCGTCCTCCCTCACACTCCCTCGTGTTCCCTCGCTCTATCATGTCTGCCTCTCCTCCACTCCTGCATCATGTTCCTCTGTTTCCTGTTTTATTGTAAAGGTCTTGTGTTTCCATGTTTTGTTCAGTTTTGCTTCCCCTGTCTCGTTAGGGTTATTCGTGTCAGCTGTGTTGCTCGTGTGTTCTCATTTCCTCCTTATCCTTCTGCGTATTTATGTCAGCATCTCCTTCAATCTCGTGTCGTAATCTCCCTCATGGTAGTGTGTCTTTCCCTGTGTTTCCTCGTGTATTCATGTTTATAGAGTCCCAGTTTATTTTTGTATTGCCTTTTTTCCCTTTCAGCTAATAAAGCTGTATTTTGAGTGTAAATCCCATTTTCTGTGAGTTTGCATTTGGGTCCTTTCCTGCCTGCCTGCACAGCTGTTTCATGACAGTTAGCATGTATTCTCTACGGTACTCTTTTTCACTTCTTTATTTTTCTACTTGTAAACATACCACGGCAGACCCGAAGACCATTCTCATGCTTTTCAGCATTTACTTGTATTAACTCTTGTTACCTTTTCACAGTTTCGCCCGGTTCGTAGATTCCTCAGGCCTCCTGAAAGAACACCGGGGACTCAGTAGTCAATTCACAACACACAAGGTAGGGCATTAACAGGGAAAAGAGGGCACAAATAAATATTTTTCTTTGTTATGTCATTTAAAAACTTTGAATAAATAATTATCTGAATCCTACAAAACAGAAAATCCTAAACACAAACTCAAAAATATAAAAAGATCAAAACTTCCCAAAATGTATCTAACATAACAAACATTAAAAAGGTAATGGTATATTTTGTGTGCTTGTGTATTATTTTTCATGGTTTAATACATTAAATATGGGTCTCACACTGCCCCACACAATCACATTGTCTACAGGATATTTAGCGAGTTCACATCTAATATATCTCACCTCTGATCTAAACTATGATGTTCTTCTGTTTTTTTTCTCAGCTACTAAGTTTAACACTACAGATGTCATTGATCATGTGATCTAGTTTTCCATGTACTGTGTAACTTCTGATTGGCCAGTAAAATCTAATCTTCACTCTTAAAAGTGAAGAGTCCCCATTTTTTTTATTCAGTACGACTGTTTGGAACAATGGCATCTGCACACATTGTCTTCTACCTGATATCTTTGTTCTTGGGTGTAATTGGTAAGTTTGTGTTTAACCACAGTCTAATTCTTTTAAGGTCTTTTTTCTCGGCTGCCATGTTCCACAATGTGTATTTGCTTTGTCTTTCATTTCACCACAGCTCAGAAGAACAACCTGCGTTTATCCTCCTCTGTTCATGAAGAAACACGTTTTATATCAGCTAAATCTGGAGACAGAGTGACTTTACATTGTTACTATGAACAGAATGTTGCTGCACGTTTTTACTGGTACAAACAAACTTTAGGAGAGAAACCAAAACTCATTTCTACCTTCTATAAGTCAGAAACCAATTTTGTTCAATTTCATGGTCCATTCAACAATAGTGCACGTTTCAGACTAGATAATGGAAAAGGAAAAAACGACTTGATTATCTCAGACTTAAGTGTTTCAGACTCAGCAACTTACTACTGTATACGTTCCTATTTCTTCACATCAACATTCTTAGAGACCATTATTGTCAGTGTCAATGATTCAGATTTAAACGTACAAGCTTTAGTTCATCAGTCAGCATCTGAGACCATCCAGCCAGGAGGCTCTGTAAGTCTGCACTGTATGGTGCACAATATGCTGAGCTGTGATGGAAAACACAGTGTTTACTGGTTCAAAGACTCTGAAGATTCTCAACCAGGACTCATTTACACCCATGGAGTCAGGAATGATCAGTGTGAGAGGAAAGACAACAAAAGAACACACACCTGTGTCTATAACTTGACAATGGAGAGCCTGAATGTGTCTCACACTGGGATCTACTACTGTGCTGTCGCCCTATGTGGACACATAATGTTTGGAAACGGGACCAAGCTGGACTTTGGGGGTAAGTCACTTTTCCAGCAGAGGTGACTCACATTGTATTATAAATAGGAGCAGATCATATTTGATGAACTCAGAGCTAAAAAGCTCTGTCATTTCCTGGTTTTACAGTTTGGCAAGATTCTGCTGCCCTGATGTATTTCTTAAGCACAGCTTTAACACTCACCACCATCATCAGTATGTTATCAACTTTTTTAGTGTATAAGATGAAAAAGAGGAACAACTGCCAATCGAGAGGTTAGAATTTCTGTTCATATTTTACTCTTGTGGTTTAAAAATAGTGGCATTTAAGTTTAAATCATTTCCTTTTTTTTCTCAGCAGACTCAAACACAAATGATTCTGTAAATTTAGAGGTGAGTTTTAAAGTGTGGGAGTTCATGTGTTTTTAGGAAATGACATTTCTTGTTGAATTGTTATCTTGATTCTTTTGGTATCCAGAGCACCCAAGAGGACAACCTTCATTATGCTGCTTTGAGAAAAATTAGGACGAAACAAGCAAGAAGACAGACGAGCAACACCCAGGAGGAATGTGTGTACTCCAAATGTGTGTACTCCGGTATAAAGTAAACATAATGGATATAATGATTTTTAGTATTACCTTTCTGCTGTAGTGATGATTTTGGCATCTTCTCTTTATTTAACTGCTAACAGAATTTGATCACTTGCATATTTTTGAAATTCTCGTAAATGTAATTCTAGTAGATAATTTGTTTTGGATTTTGGGTTTAATTTATTTTTGAAGTTTCAAATTTTTAGTTGTCTTTTTGGATTTGTTGTTGTATTGAGGTTTTTATTAATCATTTGAAGTTTTGATTCTTTATTATGGTGGGTTTAGTATTGGACACTTGTTTTGATTCCATATTTTATTGTTGAATGGTTGTGATAAGATTAGGTTTTTGTGGCGGTATTTACTGTATTCACATGATGAGGCTTAGTTTTTGTGTAAAAATGTATAATATTATTGTGAGGAGTAGTCTTCCAAGTGTTCCTGTTGACAGTGACTTTCCCCTGCATGTTTTTTCTCACCTGTTTAACATTCCAATCCAATCCCACTTTATTTATAAAGCAATTTAAAACAACATGGTTGACCAAAGTGCTTTCCAGCAAAAAACTGTGATAAAAGGTAAAAACCATACATTAAACAGACAAAGAAATAAATATAAATAACAATAAAATAAATACATAAATGAAAAAAACAAGTTAAAAATAAATCAGTATATATTAAATTTAAAATAGACAATAAAGTATACAATAAATAAAATTAACAAAATAAAAAATGATTAAGAGTGACCAAAAACTGACTAAAACTGACTAGCTGACACTAGTACTACTCCTAAAAAGCTTTGGAAAAAATATGTGTTTGTAAAAGTGATGTGGCCAGTTGGGGCCAGCCTAATATGCAGGGGCATCTCATTCCATAATTTGGTGGCCACAACAGCAAAAGCTCAGTACCCCCATTGTTTCAGTTTTGGCATGGGGACACCAAGGAGTGACTGGTCAGTTGCGAAGTATATAGGTGTAGAAGGTCTGACAGGTAAGTTGGAGCCAGGCCATTTAAAATTTTAAAAGCAAACAATTGAATTTTTAAATGAATTCTAAAATGGACAGGCAACCAGTGTAAAGAGGCAAGAACAAGGGTAATGTGCTCATTTTTGCGTGTCCCTGTCAGCAGGCAAGCAGCAGCATTCTGGACCATTTGCAAGCGTGATAGTGAAGCCTGATATAATATAAACCACAATAAAATGCCTTACAATAATCAAGGTGTGTGGTCACAAATCCATCTAAAACTCTCTAAGTCACAAAAAGAAATAAAAGGTTTGACTTTAGAGAGCAGCCTCAGCTGAAAGAAGCTATTTCTCACCACTGTATTTATCTTACGGTCATTGTTTTTCAGGGGTAGATAAATCTGACAGTCGTCTGCATTAAAATTAAATGAGACTTTGTTTTTTAATAATATGGCCACGGGGAAGTAAATGCTAAAAAAGAAGGGGCCCGAGGATGGATCCTTGAGGTACACCACATGGGAGGGGGCGGAGGATAATTAAAATTTCCCAATTGAGACAAAGAAACTTCTGTCACACTGGTATGACTTGAATCACTCCAAGGGAGTGCCTCTAATTCCAACATGATGTTCTAGGTGAGAAATTAATATGTTGTGATCTACTGTATCAAAACCTGCTGTGAGACCCAAAAGCACAAGTAAGACGGAATTCCCAGATTCAGCAGTTAGTAAGATATCATTTAAAAACTCTCAAACGTGCAGACTCAGCTGTGAAGTGCTTTAATACCTGATTGAAATAGAATAGAATAGAATAGAATAAACCTTTATTATCCCACGGATGAGAAATTTCGGTGTTACGGAGCTCTTACAGTAAGGGAAAATAAAATATAAAAGGAGGGCACAAAGTGGTCCTATAAACATAAGCAACCGAAGTTTGCATGCACAGGTATATACAGGTAACAATATACAGAATATCTATAGAAAATTTTTAAAAAATTGTACAGAGATATGTTTAAAATGTGCAGGGTTATGTATAAAACCTACAGAGCTATGTATAAAATGTACAGTAAACTAACAAGCTGGTGAGTAAGATGACCAAAAGAATGTTAAGCTGCATTATAGAGTCTGACAGCTGCTGGTAAGAAAGACCTGCGGTAGCGCTCCTTCCTACACTGTGGGTGTAAAAGTCTACTGCTGAGCGAGCTACTCAGTGCTCGTACAGTCTCATGTAGGGGGTGGGAGGTGTTGTCCATGATAGATGTTAGCTTAGAAAACATCTTCTCCTCCCCAACCTGCTTGATGGACTTCAGCGGACAGTCCAGGACAAAGCTGAACCTCCTGACCAGTTTGTTGAGTTTCCCCCTGTCCCTCTCTGCCATTCCACCACTCCAGCAGACCACAACATAGAAAATAGCAGACACAACCACAGTGTCATAAAATGTCCTTAGGAGTGTCCTTAAAACAGACAAAAACGAATACATCCAAAAAGTCTCTGAACATGTCATTCACAAGCTCCTGGAAGACAGCGGGAGAATTAATTAACCCAAATGGCATAACGAGGTATTCAAAATGTCTCAGAGGTGTGTTAAACGCTGTCTTCCATTCATCTACTTTCCGTATCCGGACGAGGTGGTAAGCATTGTGGAGGTCTAACTTGGTGAAGACATTGGCTCCCTGGATTGACTCGAAAGCTGAGTAAATGAGTGGGAGTGGGTATTTATTCTTTATTGTGATGTCATTCATCCCTCTATAATCAATACATGGCCGGAGAAACCCATCCCTTTTAGGCACAAAAAAGAAGCCAGCACCTTCCGGTGAAGAGGACAGTCTGATAATTCCTGCTGGCAGCGACTCCTGAATGTACTTCTCCATGGATTTGAGACAGGTTGTAAAGTCAGCCAGACAGCAGCAGACCTCTGGGTAATAGGTCAATAGCACAATCATATGGACGGTGAGGTGGGAGTTAGAGCATTTTATCCATACTGAATACTTCCTGTAAAATGATACTCAGAGGGTATCCAGGAAAAACCAGGTGGCTGTGAGATCTGTGGGAAGGAGAACCCTGTGTTTACGGGAACGACTGATCTTAGCGAGACAAAAAGACTCCAGCTAGCAATCGTTTTCCTGGCCCAGTGAATCTGTGGGTTGTGCTTTTGTAACCCTGGGAACCCATTGATGAGCGGAGTGTCCGGGGAGGGGAATGTGAAAAAGCATACCCATTGTAATTATCTGTTTTTGTGAAAAGGAAAAAGATTCGATAGATGCAAATGATCCAAGTATAGCCAGTGTACCATCAAGTGGTACTTTTTCCCTAAATTGGTTAGAAAACCACGTAAAAATCTGGCTCCAAAAAGCTTTCAAGACAGGGCAATGCCAAAATAGATGTGCAAGGGAACCTTCACCGATATTACATCTATCACATAAGGGGGATACAGAATTATAGATCCGGTTAAGTTTAAGTTTAGAAAAATGTAATCTGTGAATGACTTTAAACTGGATTAGTTTATATCTGGCACTTATTGAGCCTTTCTGAATATTGGACAAACAGTTTGATCATTGGTCCTCAGACAGAGATTCTTTCTTAATTTTCGTAATTCTCAGATATCAAGCTTCAAATGGAAAAAATGCAGACAATGATATCTAGAAGCACCTTACAGTTACCCAAATAAAGGCCAGCATATCACTTCCAAATTTAGCATATCTTATGGGTGACATCCAATGTTCCCTCTAATTTTTCATGTGTCTGAGCGAACACAAACTCCCTGAGCGGCCCCTTGGACCACTGTGAGCAATGAGCAATGAGTCTGTGGTCTGGGAGAGAGTCCTGTAACACTCTGTCTGCAAAATACAGTATAATGACCAATGTTGGGTAATTAATTCTATAGTTACTTCTTCAAAAAGTAACAGAGTTTTGCAAACAAAGTTTTTTACAGCTGTTTACTTAAAAATGCAGCCAAGGCGTTTTTTAAAATAAACATTTCAAACTATTTACAGAACAATCAGCTGTTCTGCATCAAATCGGATGCCACACAAATCATTTGTGTCACTCCAAAAAATAATTTCTGTCCACTATGAGATAAAGGAGAACAACAGCCTGATACCTGCAGGTCTGACAACAGGAGATGTATCAATCCTGTAACACCTGTAACATTCAGCAGTCGCCTCATTGTTCTGACACACACAACAAAACTATTGACTACACTACACACTAACTACACAAGATTTGCGCTAAACGTAGCAAATCTCACATCTCAAAACACCGCCATCACTCCTAAAACGTCCCCCTTCCTAAACAACTAAATGCCATGTTGCCATATCATTTTCTGATTGGTCGATATGGTCCTTTTTCGACCAATAGGAAAGGGTGGGGTTTTCTGGTTTTGTTTTTGCTCACAGGCGGAGAGTGCTTTCGAGCATTTTCCTTATTAAATGCTGTTTTTACCGTTTCTTCCCGCAGTAAATATAAATAACGATAGCATTCAGGAAGAAAACCAAACATTACATTGTTTTTTCCCACTATGTGATCATCTTTCCTTAAAAAGACATACTGTGTCACTTCTGCTTGGCCAATCAGGCACAGTCTTCTGTAAGAAGAGTGAAGAAAGGTTTGAGATTCTTTTCATTCAGCATGATTATTTCAAGAAGATGACATCTGCGAAGTTTGTCATCTATCTCACATGTTTGTTCTCGGGGGAAATGGGTGAGTTTGATTTTGAAAGCTTCAATGTATTTTCATGCTTTAAAGAGTCCATAACCTGCATTTGGTCTGTCTTTTATTTCACTTCAGCTCAGACAAACAACCTGAGTACCTCTTCTTCTGTTCCTCAAGAAAGACATTTCATATCAGTTAAAACTGGGGACAGCGTGACTTTGCATTGTTACAGTAAAGGTGAATGAGCTCCATGGTTTTACTGCTATAAGCAAACTTTGGGAGAGAAACCAAGACTCATTTCTACCTTCTATGTATATGAAAACAATCCCACATTTTATGATACATTCAAGAGTGATCCACGCTTCACCCTGGATACTGAAACAGGTCAAAACGACTTAATAATCTCAGATGTGCGCATTTCTGACTCAGGAACTTACTACTGTATATGTTCCAATTTGTACACATCAACATTTTCAGAGAGCATTACTGTTGGTGTTAAAGATTCAGATTTGAACATCAAGGCTGTGGTCCAACAATCAGCATCTGAAACCATCCAGCCAGGAAGCTCTGTGACTCTGAACTGTACAGTATACACTGGGACTTGTCCCACAACGTCACTTGTATGTGACACGAACGCTACAACAAAGGTGGGAGTTGTCATGATCTGCAGCTGCAGATTGTGTGAAGCAGAGAGAGGACCAAGGCGCAATAACACAAGAGAACAGGAACTAGTTTTAACCAAAGATGTGCCGTTTATTAGGTTGAATGTAAAAGTACAAATCAGACAACCCAACTAATAGCTAATCGAAACTGGGAAACACGAAGGAATAGAGACACAGGTGGGTAAGAACAGATGACCTGACAAGGAACAACAGGGAAACCCACACAATATATACACAAAAGGGTGATTAGGGAGAGTGGAGGCACATGGGAGCACAGGAGGG